GAAGAGAGAAAGAGAGGGGTGGGAGAGACCACACACACACACACACACACACACACACACACACACAGAGACAAATAAAGAGAGATATAAATAAAACAGACATGCAAGAAGTCACCCCGATATGAAATAAGAGATAAGTCGAGATAGAAGATATAAATAACACATCACAGACTGAAATAGATAGAAGGATAGATGAAAATAAATAAATACTTGCAAATATAGACTAATAGATAGATATAAAGCCATGAAAGTACTTAGACAGATAGCGAAATAAACATATGCACTCTCTCTCCCTTCCAATTTTCTCCCCGATAAAAGTAAACACAAATATTTATTCCAATTCTTGCGTCTTCACCTTATCGGGGGGAAGGTCGCTAATTGCCATTTCACGCCACTTGGGCAAACAAACAGACTAAATGGAAATAAACCTTTATAAGATAAATGATAATCATAATAATATTTTGGCGTGGTAGCATCGAGAGTGTAAATTGCTGATTTAATCATTAACGCATTTCATTTACGTTTTGGTAATCAATGTTATCTACAAAATAGCGACAGAGGGAGAAAGAGAGAGAGAGAGAGAGAGAGAGAGAGAGAGAAGAGAGAGAGAGAGAGAGAGAGAGAGAGAGAGAGAGAGAGAGACAGAGACAGAGAGACAGAGAGACAGACAGAGACACAGAGAGAGAGAGAGAGAGAAAGAAGAGATAGCTAGATAAATAAAAAAAAGATTAGGAGGGAAAGAAGCAGGAATATTTACATCTATCCGCCCAGAATCTTTTTCAGGACCTGAGACACGGTTAACCTCTGAGTAAGAGAGAAAGAAAAAAAAACTAAACCAAGAAACCCATAAAAAAAGAGAACAAAAACATCAACAAATCGAACAAAGGAAAACATGTCCCCCCAAACAAAAAAAAAGACAAAACAAAGAAAGAGAGAGAGACAACAGACAGACAGAAAACACCCACCCCACCCGCCGACCCCCACACGCAAGGAAGAGCACAAGAATGTCACCCACAGATCTCCACAACTCATGCTCCTTGCCTCGCCTGACGCAGCTGAGGTGACGTAAGAAACAGAACTCAAAACTTAACTCTTACTGAATTCCTATTAATAGATCGGTGGTTTCCCCTCGTCTCGATATATTGGGCGGCGGTCCTTCCCCTCGACGTGTCAGAGGGGAGAGGGGAGAGGGGAGGGAGGGAAAAGAGAGGGAGGCGAGGAGGAAAGGGAGGGAGAGAGGGAGGGAGGGAGGCGAGGAGGAAAGGAGGAGAGGAGGAGGAAGAGGAGGGAGGAGGAAAGAAGGGAAAGGAAAAGGGAAGAAGGGAAGGAAAAGAGGGAATAAGAGGAGGGAGAGATGGGAGGGAAGAGGGTTGAGAGTGGGAGGAAAGGGAGGTGAGAGTGGGATGAGGGAGGAAGGAGGAAGGGGAAGGAAGAGGTGGAGAGTGGGAGGAGGGAGGGAGGAAGGAGGGAGAGTGGGAGGATAAGGAGTAGGAAGGGGGTGGAGAATGAGAGGAGGGGGGGGGAGAGTGGGAAGGAAGGAGGAAAGGGAGAAAGAGAGGGAGGAAAGAAGGATGAAGAGATGAGAGGAAGGGGGATGAAGAGGGAGAGAAGTAGATAGAAGAGGAAGAGAAGAAGAGAGGAAGAGTGGAAGGAGAAAAGAAGAGAAGAAGAGAAAAAAGGAAGGAGTGGCGGGAGGGAAGGAGAAAAGAGAGAGAGAGATTAAGAGAAAAAAACGGCTGAGACGAAAGGAGGAAGGAAGGGAAGGAGAGAAGGAAGATAGGGAGAGAGAGAGATGGGAAAAAGAGATAAGAAAGACGGTAAAGGAATGAAAGAAAAGAGGGAGAGAGGGAGAAAAGGAAATGAGGGGAAAGGGAAAGAGGAAGAAAGGAAGGAAAGAAGAAGAAGGGGAAAAAAGGGGGGCAGAAAAAGGGGAAGAATTAAGGATGACAAACAGAATGAGGGAAGAGAAAGAGGGAAATAAATAGGGGAATGAGAGAGACGGTGTAGAAGACAAAGAGGAAGAGAGAGACAAGAAGAGAGAAAGAAAGGGAAGGGAAAAGAAGAGAGAACATAGGTGACATAGAAAAAAAAACATATGAGAGAGAGGGGAGAAGGAGACTAGAGAGAGAGAGAGAGAGAGAGAGAGAGAGAGAGAGAGAGAGAGAGAGAGAGAGAGAGAGAGAGAGAGAGAGAGAGAGAGAGAGAGAGAGAGAGAGAGAGAGAGAGAGAGAGAGAGAGAGAGAAAGAGAGAGAGAGAGAGAGAAGAGAGAGAGAGAGAGAGAGAGAGAGAGAGAGAGAGAGAGAGAGAGAGAGAGAGAGAGAGAGAGAGAGAGAGAGAGAGAGAGAGAGAGAGAGAGAGAGAGAGAGAGAGAGAGAGACAGAAGAGAGAGAGAGAGAGAGAGAGAGAGAGAGAGAGAGAGAGAGAGAGAGAGAGAGAGAGAGAGAGAGAAAGGAGAGAGGAGAGAGAGGAGAGAGAGAGAGAGAGAGAGAGAGAGAGAGAGGAGAGAAGAGAGAGAGAGAGAGAGAGAGAGAGAGAGGAGAGAGAGAGAGAGAGAGAGAGAGAGAGAGAGAGAGAGAGAGAGAGAGAGAGAGAGAGAGAGAGAGAGAGAGAGAGAGAGAGAGAGAGAGAGAGAGAGAGAGAGGAGAAGAGAGAGAGAGAGAGAGAGAGAGAGAGAGAGAGAGAGAGAGAGAGAGAGAGAAGAGAGAGAGAGAGAGAGAGAGAGAGAGAGAGAGAGAGAGAGAGAGAGAGAGAGAGAGAGAGAGAGAGAGAGGGAGGGAGAGGGAGGGAGGGAGGGAGGAAGGAGGGAGGGAGAGAGAGAGAGAGAGAGAGAGAGAGAGAGAGAGAGAGAGAGAGAGAGAGAGAGAGAGAGAGAGAGAGAGAGAAGAAGAGAGAGAGAGAGAGAGAGAGAGAGGGAGGGGAGGGAGGGGGAGGGAGAGAAGAGAGGGAGGAAGAGAGAGAGAGAGAGAGAGAGAGAGAGAGAACTGAGAGAGGGGGGGGATATAGATAGATAGACAGATAGAGAGAGAGAGAAAGAGAGAAAACAGAAGAGATAGACAGATAAATAGATAAAGAGAGAAGCAAGGGGAGAGGCATAAATATTTATAACATCTATCCACCTAGAATCTTTCCCAGGAACTGAGGGACGGTTGAATTCCTAATGTTGAACAACCATCGATTTATTGATGAAGTCAACCATCCATTCCCTACAGAAAATCACAATCATGTTACAGTAAGAGAGAAAGAAACATGATTATCGGGTATGCACGTTCTCTTCATCTTTGGCAGACAGAGCGTAGACAGTTTACAGGAAATGTATTTTTATTTTCTTATATTTTCTTTTGTCCCTCCGAGGAATGTCATATTCTCGCCAACAAAACCTTGCATTGACCTACAAAGCTTGTTTACACGAGACATTTTAGCCTGAATCGATTTAGCTTTGTCTTTCAATAATCTCCTGTACTTTACTTGTATGTACGTAGCTGGTTGTAATTAGGTATAAATATAGATATGAATGATCTTCTAAGCCTTTCTCTTAACAATAATGTGTATTCTGCTCACAAACCAAATGTTCAAAATCCTATATTTTTCTTTATTTCTATAATTTATTCCTTTATATTTTTATGATGATATCAAATATACATATCAGCAACATGTATAGCTTCGTAGGTCTTTCATTTTTTTTTTATTGATTTCGTTTATCTTATATGAATCGATTATGCGAATTGGCTTGGCATTCCGACCGCCTCGTAGCGGCCGGAAATAGCAGGGTGTCTGGCATGCAAAGGGGTAACTTGTGTAAACTAATATCGAATCCTGTAATTTCCCTTCTTATCTCACGAAGACGAAACCATTTATCAGCGTATCACTTTTGTTTAATTAGTTACCATGACAATTACTCTCTGTTTCTCTGGGTATTAGGTTACAGTTATGCAATGAAGAAGTTTCTTGTTACAGATTCTTGTTACAAAGATGGTGTGCTCGTATCCACATGTGGGGCTCTTCTCTCCATGCTTCTTCAAGAACGAATAAAAAACACAAAAAATAACGAAATAATATCTATAGAAGACACTTGACAGCCATCCTCCTAAACACATTTCCGAAAACAGAAATTAACATCCCACTCACAGTTTACAAGACAAACAATTTTAAACAAAATGAGAGTAGTTAAATGTGACGAGTATGGCTGACGAGGGGCAGGGGAGGAGGAAGAGGTGGGGGAGGGGAGGGGAGGAGGAGGGGGGGGGAGAAGGAGAAAGAAGGAGGGAGTGGAAGAAGAGAAGGAGGAGGAGGAGGAGGAGAAAAGAAAAGAACAAGAAGAAAAAAGAAAAAAGAAAGAAAAGAAAATGCAGAGTGGAAGAGGAAGAGGAGTAAGAGGACAAGATAGAGGGATGAAGAGGAGGAGGAGAAGGTAGAGGAAGGAGGAAATGGAAGGAAGGAACAGGAGGAAGAGAAAGCAGAAGAGGGAGAGAAGGAGGAGGAGGAGAAGAAGAAAGTGGAGGAGAGGAGAAAAAGTAGGGGATATAGTAATAACGACATCAGCAATAATAATAATGATAAGAAGAGGAAGAAGAAATAGAAGAAGCAGAAGAGGGGAAATAGAAGAAACAGAAGGAAAGGGAGGAGGAAGAGGAGAAAAAGAAGAAATGGTAGTAGTAGCAATAGAAGTAGCAGAAGGCGAAGAAGGAGCGAAAGAGAGTGAGAAAGAGATAGAGATAGATAGATAGAGATAGATAGATAGATATAGAGAGAGAGAGAGAGAGAGAGAGAGAGAGAGAGAGAGAGAGAGAGAGAGAGAGAGAGAGAGAGAGAGAGAGAGAGAGAGAGAGAGAGAGAGAGAGAGAGAGAGAGAGAGAGAACGACAGACAGACGGACAGAGACAGAGAGAGACTTAGCCGAAGAGAGAGAAATAGAGAAAGATAGCGAGAGAAGGGGAGTAGCTTTGAGAAGGAAGAGGGGGAGAGCAGACCCCTCTTATTCACAACCTATTTTTAAAACCCTCAAGACGGGAGGCCAGTCAGTGAGCAGAGCTCGCACCCAAAACACTCTCGCGTGTCTCTCTCTCCCTCTTTACCTCTCTCTCTCTCTCTCCCCCGAGTTCGCACAAGCCAACACAATGGAAACGCTGCCTATGTCTATGGATAGGGATTCCCTGATACAGTTACTTTCTGAAATTGATACAGTGTTATTAGACTGTGATGGTGAGTATGTTATTTTTTTCTTTCTATATATATATGGTGTATTTGTATGTGTGACCTATATGTTTCAAAGAGGAACTCTATTTGATATCGGGTGAAGTGGTTTTGAAGTGGATTTAGAAAACGGATTATGAATTTGTCTAGTGTATGAAAAGTGTAAACAAATGAAGTGTACTATTTAAGTAGTGTTGAATATTGGACTGAAATAAGATTAAAAAGTACACAGAAAACGGACACCAGACCAAAGCAATGCCTATTTTCAGGCCGTTGACCTATTTCGCGGAGTTTAAAATTGGCTGCGGTTAAAAATAAGTTTTCCTGCACTCAAAATTCAGATTTGATTTACTTTTATGTGTTCTTCGGGGGGGAAAATGTGGATAATAATTAGATGTGACTCATTTTGTTTATTTCTTTACGAATGTTTATAAACATTATGACTAAGTTATATATAAAATAATTAACATACAGAATTTGAAGGCTTATAAGTAAATGATAGTTCGAATGAAGAAAAGACAATATTGAATGATAAGTATTTATGATTACAACATAAATATATGTACTTTTATTATCTTTATAGTGTATATATGTTTTCTGTCTTTCATGTTTTATATCCCATTAGTTAGACATGTGGTATATATGGCAGCAGAGGGGTATAACTAATATATGATATATATACTAAAATTTTAGGTAACTTTATAAACAAAATATAACTGTTATGACCAGCAGAAACATTTAAAATAGATAACTTTGTATCTTTATCATGTAAGTTATTCATACTTATTAATTTTCCTACTCTTATCAGAGTGAAGAACAATATGACATCTTATATACTTATATGATTATCTTATATTTTATTTTCTCTTCATTAACAGTCGTGAAGGCAATTTTCATTTCATTTGGCCATTGTTACTTGACTTCATTTTCATATCATTAGCAATAAAAAATCTCACTTTAATCACATGAAGTCAAGTGAATATAATTTTGCACTTAATTAATACAGAGAAATTACATCACTCCTGTAAATTTAACTTTTTTTTAAATTTCATTAACAAACAGAAGTATTTTCAGTTAATCTCAGTTCCAATAATCATCAGATCATGTCTAATTTCCAAAGAAAATTGCATCTTCCTTTCACAAAAAAATAATAGATTTTACTTTATTCTATCAAAATTATAAATTTTCTTTCATTTTTATTCCTCGTAAAAGAAATCTCTCAGTTTCCATATTCTAAACTCAGCACATCACATTAAAACAAATTTTGTATCCAAAACTAGATTTACTCACTAAAATGAGCAAATTCTAATTTGTCCGATCTTTTAAATCTAATAAACTTTTCCCATCAAAACAAAATAATTCTCATAAACCAACCATATAACTACCTTTCCCTGATTTGCCTTTCTATTCATACACTAAAATAAGGTAACTAACGGATCTGTCAGTAAACCCTGACAAATTTTTCCCATAAATCCTGTAAAATATTCTCATTAATCAAACATGTAAACTACCTTTTCCGATATACCTTCATTTTCCTTTACTAAAACAAGCTAACTCTTATTTGGTCTTTCAAGAAACCATAATGGACCTTTCCTATTGAAACTAATGAACTATTCTCATTAACCAACCACATACCAACCTTTCCCTAATATATCTTCTCAAATATACCTTCCTTTTCCTTCACTAAATCCATTCTAATTATCAAACCCCATACCTATTTCTCCCAAATATACCATCATTTCAGGTGTACTATGGCAGGGAGCTCAGGGCATGGACGTCATCCCTCGCTCTCGTGAAGCCCTGGAACGCCTCAAGCAGATGGGAAAGAGAGTATTCCTTATCACCAACAATTCCACCAAAACCCAGGACCACTACTTTGCAAAATGCCGACAGCTGGGATTCAATGTGGAGAAGGTGAGGAGGGCCGTGGACATCGAGGAGGAGAAAGGAGAGAAGGAGAGAAGGAGAGAAAATTGTGGAAGGGAATAAGGAGAGGATGAGATGCCTCACAAAGAAGAAAGGTCAGAGATGATGAAGGAAAGAATGAAGAAGGGAGAGTGGGAGAGAGATAATAAGGGAAGGAGAGAGGGAGAGAAAGAGAATAAAAGGAGAGAGGGAGAGAAAGAGAATAAAAGGAGAGAGGGAGAGGGGAAGAGAGAAAGGGAGCGGAAGAGAGAATAAAGGAAATTGCAAGAGATGGGGAGAGAGAATGAAGGAAGGAGAGAGGGAGAGGGAGAGAGAATAAAGAAAAGAACAAGATAGAGGGAGAGTGAACAAAGGGATGGGAGAGGAAGAGATAGAGAGAACAAAGGAAGGAGGGAGAGATAGGGAGAAAGAATAAAGGAAGGAGAGAGGGAGGGGGAAAGAGAATAAAGGAGAGTGGATAAGGGAGAGAGGAGATGAAAGATAGGCATTGAAAGTGAAGACAAAGGAAAGAAAGAGGGAGGAGAGAGAATAAGGGAAAGAGAATGAGAAAAGAGGAGAATGAAAGGATAAAGGATGAAGATGGGGAGAGGAGAGGGGAATTAAAGAAATAGGATAATTTGATAATACATTGAAATATACAAATGTGTTATTGAATCTCATTCTAATGTTTTTTTCCTTTTCAAAACTTTTTTTTTCTTTCCTTCTTTTTGGAATCTCAGAATGATTTTTGTTTTTTAATTTGATTAATTTATTTTTTTTACCTTTCATTAAAACATGAAAAATGTCTTGAGTAATTTCAGCACAACCCTTTTTCTCAACCTGACTTCATCCACAGATATTTTTTCTTTTATTCTATAGTTCTCCCTTTAATAACCCAACTCATTCTCTTTTCTCCCCTTCAACTTAACTCAAAATCCATCGTTCATTTCCAGGACCACATCCTGAGCTCCCCGTACATCGCAGCACAATACCTCAAGGAAATCGGCTTCGACAAGAAGGCCTACATCATAGGGTCTCCCGGTCTCGCAGAGGAAATTCAGAAAGTCGGCATTACTACCATTGGTACTGGTGTAAGTACTGGACTGTTCTGTGTGCTTGATTTTTTTCAATGATTTTTATTTTTTTTTTATTTATTTTTTTAATAGATGTTTTGAATAGATGTTTTAGTCTATATGAAATGAGGCGGTTCTTTATCAGTGTGTTTGTTTTCTTGATGTTTCAGACAGTAGTTATCAAAAAAAAGCAAGGAAGAGTATTCAATTTTCCCATCTATGATTTATGAAACTTTCTCTCTCTTCCAATTCCAGAAATTGTCTCATTCTTCCTTATTCTGTCTGTTCTTTATCCAGTTTCCTCTTTTTCCCCAACCATCTGTTTTATCTTCCTCTCCTACTGTTCCCTAAAAAGCAAGATATTTTGTATCCAAAGCTATATATTACAGCAAATGGTTATGTGTTCTGACAGGTACAGGGTATTTACAGCTATTCAACCTGTGATTTCTTAATGCATGAAATATATCAAATAATCTCTGTGCTTTGAAAGTCTTTATAGGAGTTCAGATCTCTCACAGGAATTACTTACAGTGCCACAATACCAGATGCATTGCCGGAGTTACTTACAGCTCCAGAAACAACAGTTTACTTAACAATATCTCTATGCAAAGTGTGCTGATTTCAGTTTCAGATCATGGTGAATTAATGGCCAGTGTAGTCAACTAATATGAAGAATCTTAGGAATGAATCTACACTTGATTTCAAGTCAGTAGCAGCTTAGTGCTTGAATCTTTCATCTGTAATCAGTTCAGTAATGTCGTCTACAACTTTAGAAATGTCATAACCAATGAATAACATGCTCTCTTGGTATATTATTGATATTATGATCATCTTTAGTGCTTTTCCCAAAACCTTGAGTCTCTCTCTTGTAATCAACTCAACCATTTCTCGTACGTGTTTAGAAAGTTGATACATAACCAGTATATAACACCCTGTTTTGGTTTATTATCAATATTATTCTTATAATTGAATATTTGCTCCTTTTCTATACTTTCACTCACACAGTTGGAAGTTTATTTAACACTGGAGCTAAGTAGCAATAGTGCTGGTGTGTATTTTTTCATAAAGAGATGTATGCATCTTGGCATACAGGTATTAGTATAAAAATTTACTATGTTTATATTATGCCTTATCATAGTTTATTAATCTCTAGGCAAATGCTTTATGTAGTAACAAGAATTTTCCTAGTAAGCCAATGTTAATTGTACTGTAGATACATGAAAATTATATGGTCATGTAAATGGAGACAAATAATATGTGAATGGATACAAAAATGTATTGATGGATGGATGAAACTATAAAAGTAGATAAGCTGGAAGAACAGATAGAAAGATAGACTGACAGACAGGAGAATAGAGCAAGAGATAAAATGAATGGTTGTGTGAGGGAATGACTGAATGAGTAAATGCCTGAATGAATGTGAAAAGATAAATGTATGAATGACAGTGAAAAGATAAAAGTATGAATGATTGTGAAAAGATATACGTATGAATGAATAAACTGACTAATGGATTAATGAATAAATAACTAGATATTTCAATGAGGGAACAAAAGGGTTAATCACTGGATCGTTAAATAAATTACTGGTGAATTGAGTATTGAACTTTGAATGAATTTGATTAGAGGAATTTATAAACAAAATACCTTATAGTTCAGTTTATTTGTTATATTTTTATATGGTTGATATAATGGGAATATATGATTTGTATTAATATATATGTTGAAAAAAATCACGCAAAGATTTTGAAATATAATTTGGTTGTTTTTTTTAAATGATTTTCACTGAATGCATTTAGAATGATATGTCTAGAATTCAATTACATTACTGCTACAGCAGATCATAGCCATGTCTGATGGATAGAAAAATAAGGAATCCTGTTAAATTCTGATAATCTACTTTGTTTTTTAGTGAACACACACACACACACACACACACACACACACACACACACACACACACACACACACACACACACACACACACACACACACACACACACACACACACACACACACACACACACACAACACAACACACACACACACACACACACACACACACACACAGAAAATAAACAAACACCAAATATCAGACACACACAAAGTCCCACACACAGACACAAACATACACTCAAAAACTTTCACACACACACAAATTCAAACATCCATCCCCCCCCCCACACATACAATCATAACGAAGCTAAATTATTTTAGAAGCATCCCTGTTTAAGTAATCGGCATTACCGAAATCTCTTTATATAAAGGATTTCAAAAACATTAAATGCTTCCTCATACTGCATAACAGACAATGAGTAGTTAGGGCATTAAAAGATAAGCCTGAACTGTAAATCAATGAAATTAATCACTGCAAGGGGAAGTTAAATCAAGTGTGAATTTCTGTATGTTAATAAGAAGCAGGAATTCCATATAAAAATACATTTAACTGAAAATTCATAATATGCACTTCCTAAATGCCACATTACTTGTTTCATTTGCACTGCCTGTATCTACCACAGCTGTAACTACTGTACTAGTTCCAATAATAGATAATCACTGACCAAAAAGAATACTCATTCACCGAGAGCAATAACAACAAATACCTGGATTCTTTTAATGCTAGTTTCCTTTATTTACTGATGCTGTATATGCTGTGATATTCAATGCCTAAATGTATTTATATCATGAATGTCGGATCAGGCAGTATGAGATAAACTGGCATAGTCATGGTACAGGGAAGATGAATTTTGGGGAAGAAATTGATGTATATTTCCAAAATATATGACCCTGGCAAAAACCTATATCCTATAATACACATGTATTCACATATTCAGTCTTACAAGATTTACAGACATTGAATGAGTAATCAATAGTTTTAGCCTGTCCCCTTATTAAAATATCTGCATTCTCACTTCCAGCCAGAAACAATTGAAGGCCCCCTGTACAATGCAGTAGTCGAGGGAAAGTTAGGGCTCGACCCTGGCGTTGGGGCCGTAGTCGTTGGCTTCGACAGAGACTTCAACTACGACAAGCTCCTCCGCGCCACATGTTACCTCAAGGACCCAGACTGCTTGTTCATAGCCACCAATACTGATGAGAAGTACATAGTGCAGGGAACCAACTATCACTTGCCAGGTGAGCTTTGAATGTATGTGTTTGCTCTTCTGTTTATGTTTTTATAGAGATAAATATTCATATTTACAGCTTCAATATTCCTGAAAGATATATAGGTACATACTTCCTTGTAAAAGTAGACAGTAATGGCTACATTATTATGAACATCTGTAGAAGAACAGAGAATGTAATATGCTATACACAATTACCAGATAAAAAGTTAATTAGAAAAAGTGCATCATTAAATTTCTAAAAAGAGAAAAGAAATTACTAAAGAGGAATCAAAACTATAAAGATATCATAAACTTCTTAACAAAATAAAATACAAAACTTTCAGCTGCTGGAATCATAGTCAATGCCATAGAGGCAGCCTCAGAACGCCCAGCACGCGTCATGGGTAAACCTTCGCTCAACATCTTCCACATGCTACAAGCTCGTTTCAACCTCCAGCCTGAGAAGACTCTGCTCTTCGGGGACACGTAAGTCAATTCACAGTTTGAGGATGAGAGGCTGATGCTATTGGTGGTGGTGGTATAGTATGTTATTGGTTCACATAAAATTATTTGCTGTGTGATAAGTTATGTTGTTCATGGACTCAGTTTCATATTGTAATAACAAAACTAAATGTAGAAAATGAAAACATAAGTTATTCATAGATAAGTAATTATTCTCTTGGCATTGTGTTCTAAAATAATATGAGACCTATACCACACCAAAAAATAAAAATAAAAATATAAAGGCTATTCAAAACATGTTAGGTTTCAAATTCCTACAAAAATAGTACTAGTTTGCAGACAAAAGATATCCAATACAAACACACAACACATACCAAGAAGAAAAGAAATGTTTGTACCAAAGAAGCTGAGTTAAACATTCTAAATTCTTCTTAGAAAAATACAAAATCCATATTGTGTCTTTTCAAATATTGCAGGCTACACACGGACATCCTGTTCGGCAATGAGAGCGGCATGTGGAGCATCTTGGTCCTGAGCGGTGTCTCGACCCTCATGGAAGCCCGGGAGCTGCCTCAAGACCCCCAGAAGCAGAAGCAGCTGCCACTCTTCTATCTGCAGTCCCTTGGAGATATCCTGACCCTCATGGACGAGCAAGTGAATGGGGGAGTGAATGAGCAACAGAATTAGGTAACAGGACTGAGGTAACAGGATTGAGGCAACAGAACCGAGACAAGAGGACTGGGGCAACAGACCTTTGATTACTTAG